AGACCTTTGCTCCAGTAACAAAGTTAAATACTATAAGAATTCTCTTATCTTTAGCTGCTAACCTAGATTGGCCACTTCAACAGTTAGATGTGAAGAATGCCTTCTTAAATGGGAAGCTTGAAGAGGAAGTGTATATGAGTCCACCTCCTGGGTTTGAGAGTAAATTTGGCTCAAAGGTGTGTAAACTGGAGAAATCCTTTTATGGACTTAAACAGTCCCCAAGGGCTTGGTTTGACAGGTTTACTCAGTTCATAAAGAGACAGGGATTCAAGCAAGCTCAGGCTGATCATACACTTTTTGTGAAATTTTCAAGTAAGGGGGAGATTGCAATATTAATTGTTTATGTGGATGATATTATTCTTAGAGGAGATTATCACAAAGACACTGAAAGTCTAAAGAAGCAACTGGCTCATGAATTTGAGGTCAAAGATTTGGGAGAATTGAAGTATTTTCTTGGAATGGAGATAGCTAGATCAAAGAAGGGAATTGTTGTATCACAGAGGAAGTATATTCTAGATCTTCTCCAAGAAACAAGCATGAGTGCATGTAGATCAGCAGATACTCCAATTGACCCCAATCAGAAGTTGGGAGATGTCAAAGATGGAGTTTCAGTCAATACCCAGCAATATTAAAGATTAGTGGGAAGATTGATATATTTGGCACATACAAGGCCAGATATTGCATTTGCAGTTAGTTTGGTTAGCCAGTTTATGCATAATCCAGTCCAAGAACACCTTGATGCTACTTACAGGTTTCTAAGGTATCTGAAAAGTTGTCCAGGGAAAGGATTATCTTTAAAAAGAACAACAGTAGAACTGTTGAGGCATTTACAGATGCAGACTATGCTGGCTCAATCACTGATAGAAGATCTACTTCTGGGTATTGTACCTATGTATGGGGAAATTAGGTGACTTGGAGAAGTAAAAAACAGAATGTAGTTGCTAGAAGCAGTGCTGAATCTGAATACAGGTCTATGGCAAATGGAATTTGTGAACTGCTTTGGATCAAAAGAGTAATTTCAGAATTAAAATTGAAGATGGATCTACCTATGAAGTTGTATTGTGATAACAAGGCAGCTATTAGTATTGTTCATAATCCTGTGCTACATGATCGTACTAAACACATTGAAGTGGACCGACTCTTTATCAAAGAAAAGATTGAAGCTGGAATTGTGTGCATACCATTCATACCTACTAAAGAACAAACAGCTGATATATTCACAAAAGGATTGTTCAGACCAGTGTTTGAGCTACTTATAAGCAAGTTGGGGATGTATGATATATACTCACCAACTTGAGGGGGAGTGTAGAAAATGATACATTTATTATTTATTATTAGATTGTGTACGTATGTAGTTGTGTAGATAAAATAGAGTTGTGAGACTGCATTAATTAACAGATACGTACTGCAGTTAGATAGATCCTATTTTTTAGGATCTGCATAGGGAGTTTGTTGTGTGTACTCTGTATATATATTCTGGCCGTATGGCTCATCATAATCAAGGAAGTTTTATTCCTAAAACTTACATCATCAATTACTGATGCACTACTATAGACCGGAGACGAAGGACCAGACGCTGTTTCAATACTGCAATGAATGTAAACAGATTTTTGAGGAAAAGCGGTCCCGATTCCCTATTACTGTTGATGTTAAGAGTATGCAACAACAAGAGGAGCGAACATTTGTTCATGGTGTTTTGGCTGGGCTTGGTCCACAATATGAGGTATCAAGGAGTCAAATACTGTCTGGTGGGACCCTTCCTAGTTTTTCAAGCGGCTATCCATATAGCAAATAATCCTGTTTTTCATGAAAGAACAAAGCATATCGAAGTTGATTGTCACTTTACTCGAGAAAAGGTAGAAGATGGTACAATTTGCACTTCACACATCAAAACAGGACACCAACTGGCAGATGTGTTCACCAAGGCTCTACCGGGGACACGTATCAATTCAATCTGTACCAAGCTGGGCAAGATTAATATTTATGCTCCAGCTTGAGGGGGAGTGTTAGAATATACATATTTAATAGTCAATATATTCTATGTATATATATGGTAGCTAATATATTCTCTGCGATAGCCTAAATATTCTAGGTAAATCTGACAGATTTAGTTTCCTTTTTTGTATTTTCTAGCTTGTATGTATTTATACTGGCCATACATAATGATAATGAAGTGTGATTTCATTGCATCTTTAATCCCTGTTACTCAGTTTACACCTATCACCAAAGTTTAGAGCCTTCACAATAGCATTACTGATGATGAAACTCCTAAAACGATACATGAAGCTCTAAGTATTCCAAAGTGGAGAGAGGCTGTTCTAGAGGAAATGAGTAGGGCGGGATTCGGTTCGCGGCCCGAACCGATTTAGTATATCCCGAACCGAACCGATATTTCGGTTTACCAAATTATCAAAACCGAAACCGAACCATTATACGAACGTGTACCGATTTTTGGTGCCTGATTTTATCATTCGGTTTATCGGAAACCAAAAAAAACCGACTCAACTATAATAAATAAATTTGAACTAGTATTTAATAGACTAAAGCCCATCAGAACTTGCCAATATTTGAGCCCCATTAGCCCAATGGCAGCTCAAAACGTATCTTGGCCTTCTACACTAACGGGGCGTAGTTTATATTGAAGTTTTTGGAGTAGAAATCTACTCATTTTCCGGTGTGGGACAAAATAGAATAGAAAAGAAGCCAAATTCTAAAAAACAAAACGTTACAACGTGGGTGGGAATCGAACCCACGACATTTCGGTAAGGATTAACGCCTTCAAACCATCTCGGCTACATGTCAAGTACGTGCAAATCATACTCGGTTACATATTATACCTTATTAAATGTCACTAATTACTATTATTATAAATAAAAATTATTATTATTAATATAAAAATGTCGGTTCGGTTTGGTCCGAACCGATATTTTGTGCACATAAACCGAACCCGAACCGATTTTTTTCGGGTCCCGATTATTGGGTCCCAATTTTGTTCGGTTCGATCCGGTTCGGGTTTTTTGTTAAGCGGTTCGATTATTTTTGGTTCGGTTTTCGGTTTTTCGGTTCAAAATGCCAGCCCTAGAAATGAGGGCATTAGAAAAGAACAAAACTTGAGAATTGACAAAACTGCCACCCAACAAACAACGGGTTGATAGCAAATGGATTTTTACCATCAAATACAATTCTGATGGTATGATAGAAAGGTACAAAGCTAGACTTGTAGCTAGAGGGTTCACTCAAACATATGGACTAGATTATGAAGAGACATTTGCTCCAGTTGCAAAGCTCAACACTGTTAGAATACTTCTTTCTTTAGCTGCAAATTTGGATTGGCCACTACTACAACTAGATGTTAAGAATGCATTTATTAACGGAGATTTGGAAGAAGAAGTATTTATGCAAGTTCCATCTGGATTTGACAGTGATACTACTGCAGGAAAGGTGTGCAAACTGAAGAAGGCCTTATATGGACTCAAACAGTCTCCTAGGGCCTGGTTTGGAAGATTTGAAAAGATTGTAAAGAAGCGAGGGTACACTCGAGCACAATCAGATCACACTTTGTTCTACAAACATTGTGTAGAAGGTAAAGTGGCAGTACTAATTTAATATGTGGATGACATAGTATTGACAGGAGATGATCAGGGAGAATTGGCAGCATTAAAAAATTTCCTAGCTCAACAATTCAAAATAAAAGATTTAGGAAATCTCAAGTACTTTCTTGGTATGGAAGTTGCTAGATCCCAGAAATGAATTATGATCTGTCAGAGGAAATATGTACTTGATTTGCTGAAAGAAACATGTCTCCTTGGATGTAAACTTGTCTCAACTCCAATTGACCCAAATCAAAAATTTGGAAGAAGTGAAAATGAGGAAGCTGTGGACTAAGTATCAGCAACTTGTTGGGAAGCTTATCTACTTGGCTCACACAAGACCTGACATAGCATTTGCAGTAAGGCAGTAAGCTGAGTCAGCCAGTTCATACATAACCCAACTGAAGAACATCTTAGAGTTGTCTACAAAATTATTCACTATCTTAAAGGTAGCCCTGGAAAAGGAATTTTGTTCAGGAAAACTCAAAACAGACAAGTTGAGGTGTATACAGATGCTGACTATGCTGGCAGTAATATTGATAGAAGATCTACATCAGCTTACTGTACTTTTGTATGGGGGAACCAGGTCACGTGGAGAAGCAAAAAACAGCATGTTGTATCAAGGAGTAGTGCAGAAGCAGAATTTAGAGCAATGGCACAAGGGATATGTGAAGTCATATGGGTAAGACGCATGCTGAACGAGTTGAAGATGCCATTAGAGAAGCCCATGAGATTATATTGTGATAACAAGTCTGTCATTAGCATAGCACATAATCCAGTGCAACATGACAGAACTAAACATGTTGAAGTTGATCGGAATTTTATCAAGGAAAAACTTGAGGGTGGAGAAATATGCATACCTTATGTGCCAACAACTCAGCAACTAGCAGATGTACTAACTAAAGGGCTCTTCGAGCAAATGTTTGAAGAAATTTTAGTCAAGCTGGGCATGATTGATATCTTTGCTCCAACTTGATGGGGAGTGTTAGCTATTTTAAATTTACTCGTACATATTTATTTAGTTGTAATTAGATAACTATTGTACTTAGTCAGGATTGTTAGCATAATTTTAGCTTAGATCCTATTTTTTAGGAGTTAGTTGTTAGTGATGTATTCTATTTAAATTGACAGTCTTTGAATGAAAGAATCATTCCGCCTAAATCAGTTTAGCTTTCAATTTATGAACTACTTTTTAGGAGAACTAATCTAGTGTGTCTTGACTAGGTCAAGAATGGAATAATTCCGCATTAAGGGTAGATGTCAAATACTCTCTTTCATTCTTCATCCCTATAGTTTGTTTCCCCTAGACCAGATACGAGATCCCAGCCATGCTCATAATACATGTATGAGTATTACCCAATCGTAGAAATAAACAAATAAATTGACAAGCTATAATTGGCTTTGTCTCACCTTGAGAAAACCTATTCTAACAGAGCAAGACTCTTTCTTCACAGCAGGCGGAGGGGCTGAACTTGAGCATGCAGAAGCCGAAGGACAATCACCACAAGAACAGCCCAATGAATTGTCGCCACAGGAATACGTGGACACATTCATAGCTTTCATTCCAGAAGATTCAGGAGCAGTTGATGTAAAATTTATGGCATATGGAGATCCTGGCAAGCCAAGTGCAGCTCTTCTACCAATAAATGCATACCACTCTGTTAAACGCAAACACTCACATCAGGATCCCATTAATTGTTTGCTATACGACAAGTATATAGAGAGTAGATACAGTTCAACTCATGCACGTGCAGAAGCAAATGCTTTTTATACTTCCATTCAAGCTAAATGGGAGGGAGAAAGAGTTTAACCTCTAAAATTTTTAGCCCCTGCACCAATGAAGTCAATTGCTCGAGTATTCATAGTCCCAAACTTTACCTCCTTGCATGATTCATATAACTCCTCACCAAAAGTGTCAGTTATAAAAAAATCAATACCATCTACAGTCATGTTTTTGTTAACCTGAATGTAACAAAGAAAGCATGGTAGTTTTGTCAAAATTTGATAGGCAGCTAGTGATATTTGACAAGTAATGCTCAATTACAGTTTTATCACAATTGAATTTAGCTGATATAAAAGGATTAGAAGCTTAGGGAACTCATAAGAATGTAAATATCAAGCCATTATGCGTGATAGGCTGATTTAAGACGTATAAATAACTGTGGTGTAGTGTACTAGTGTATAGAAGCTCCCACATATTCAAGGTCTGGGAAGGGCTGAGCATGTTTTCTTTTGGACCGTAATTTGCTGGTTTGGTCTGATCTGGTCTTGTATGTTTAAGTCTGGTCTGGCAAATGTCTGGTCTCTGTGTATTTTATAACTATCCAGGTCTGGTCTAGTTTGTTTAAGTCTGCTCTGGTCTGGGACTGAAAACATCCAAAAGAAAACATCCTAAGCCATAAGGCTTCTATACTTCTATAAAGCGATACTATAGCTCGAAGCCATGCCCTCCCAGTCACATGGCAGTAGAAGAGCCCAAGGCTCTCTCCTTTAGTATAAAAGGGCCAGGTCAGTGCACATTGGAGTCCCCAAAAGGACAGGGTCCGAAGAAAGGTCCCACCACAAGGGTGTATAGGAGGGGTTCCCTTGTCAATTTTTTATAAGAGGTTGCTCTTAAGACTTGAACATGTGACCTCTCAGTCCCACAGCAACACCTTAACTAGTGCTCCAAGGCTTCCCTTCCCCTTAGACTAATATAACACAAACAATTATAGGAAAAAGTAATCAATTGTAACTTGAGTCAAAAATATTATTAAATGAATGAAAACTGATGTGACTGCTAACCTTTGAAACAGATGTCACATTTATAAATTGACTCTGGTTTGGAGAACATGAAAGTTCACAGAATAGATTTAAAAAATTTCTCAGGCATGCTGGACAGCCTACAAGAAACGGGATTGCCTGCACATGCTTGTAAAAGTGAATAAAAAAACTGCAGTGAATGAAATATAAAACTGGAACAAATCATAGTCAGATTACTTGCTGGACTTGAGATCTTAAAATTTCAAATTGAGCCTCTGCACAGCATACATTTCCGGTAATTGTTGGGCACAAACTTTGAACCTTAGATGAAAGCAACTTATCTGGCTGTAAGGTTATAACAAAATCATTCACATAGAGGAATTCCAATCCAAACAAGGAAACAAAAAGGAAAATATCACAGGAGTGTGCAAGCACCGATGCCTATGCAGCAGTACTTACCCTAACAGATTGGGAACCAAAGGGGCAATTCAGCATTTTCCCATCCACACGTTTTCCACATATGCCATACATGGCGCAGTATCCTTCTGAATGCCTTTGCCTAACCATATGGGCTAATATGAAAATGGGCATACGAAAATACAAACTTTGCAACTTTACCAATTCATTCAGTAACTAAGGGCTTGAACTTGCAAACTAGTAATCTCAGCCGTCATCCATTCTTAGCTTAAGCGGGATTGTCTGTTTGGCTAACTCTATAGCTTAAAGTTGAAAATTACTAACTAAAAGTGAAGAGTGATTGCCATTTGAGGCATATAAACATAATACAAACATTACAATGGTTACCTCTCTTTCATGTTTTTTCCTAAACATGTTGAATAATTGGCAATCAGATACAAACAATATAAAATTGAAAAATTCATAGCAGTTCATTCAGTAACAAGAAAGGACTTCAAATTGGAATTTGTTAGTGCACCTTCTCTTGTTTGATTGAACTCGATGTTTGTTTAGCTAACTGTTCTGTCAAAGTTATGGCTAAAAGGCGAAAACAAACTCAGGGAAAAAAGGTGCGACCAAATAGAAAGAAAAAACTCAAGAAACTGTTTCTGTAATGCATAACAATTGTATTAATGATAAGTGCATACGTTTTTTACTATATTCTCTAGCTACAATAGTACATTCATATCTGGCCTTCACTTCATAGCGAACTGTAAGAAAATAATGTTTTACTTCCTGTATTAAATGATTTCAAAAGAAGCTGCCCACAAAAAAAACAATAGATATAAGGTATTACCAGATTTTTAGGGAGAAAAGCTTACCAAGTTGGCGCATGCGCTGCCACCGTTGAACCACTAATCAAGACCTGCAAAGGAGGATATGTTTACTTGAAAAACTCCAAATAAGCTGGCAAAGCGCATAATATTAATTTTCTGCGAAAAAATGAAAAAGTAATGCAAAATCCGGCAGGAAACGCATAAAGACGAATGCAGTAATTAAAAATAGATGAGATTCAACAAATAGTATTAAATGATTGAAGAGGGGAAGGGGACCCAAACTTAGCAATGTAGTTCAACTGAATCAAGCGGATGAATTCCATATTCGGAACTTAAGAGTATAACGAATCAATAGACATTGACTTTGCTAGCCATACGCTTAAAGCCCGCTAGTGGCCGGTAAGCAGAGGTCCGGCGAAAGACTAACCTTAAGAAACAAAGAAACTGCCAAACAGGTACTAATAACAAGCCTCATATTTTCTTCCTTCTGAAGAGAACTTCTGCCGTTGTGAAAGTTGTGACAGAGGACCGGGAGTATTAAAGAGTGAAATTATCCGTATTTATTGCGTGCGTGCCAACTGCTAAAATAGGAGTGCTTTCGTAAGTAATGTTTAGTAGGACTCATTTAAGCATGAGTGGACCATAATAACCTTATTTTAAATAAGGCAAACACATTTCATTAAAGCAGAGAAAATTCATAAAAGTTCCAAATCTCGGTAAAGGTGTTCACCAAATACTTAGAATAATTCAAAATGCAGCCTCTCACACCGGCGTCGCTGTCCGCCGCCATCATCCACCGCTGCCATCATCCACCGCTGCGGCCACCCTCCGCCACCAGCCTCCTACAGCGCTGCCTACTGCCTCCCCTCGCCGGCGACTGGCGGTACCGGTACGTGCCTGCCACCGCATCCCTGCCGGTACATCGTTGCCGCCCTACCGGTGTTGCCATCCTCCGCCGCCGTTACAACTCCGTTGTTGTTCCCAGTGTTAAATTTGGCGCCACCACTACACCTCCAAGCACCGCCGCCACCGTCACAAGTCCAGTGTCGTAAATCTGCCATTAGGTTGGCAGATTTAGCCTTGGAGATTAATTAGAGATCTGCCATTAATATGAAGTTTCAGATATGTCAAAAAGTGGCATATTTATCTTGGAAGAAGATCACAAACTGCCATAATTTTGGCAAAAATATGAAATTTTCAAACAAATATTCGATTTTTTTTATAAATGGAATAAGCACTCTAAAACAATAAAAAATCAGAAATACAAAGCTAGTTACAAAACTTCAGAAAATTCGATTTACACAAATTTTTTTCTGCCATAAACAATTCTCAGTGTGCACATTTCTGCAATAAACTTGGCAAAATGTTATGCCATCGTCCAAAAATTAAGAAATCGGAAATTTTTGAAAGTAAGAAAGTTGAAATCGAAAATACGAAATAGAATGTGAAAGCCAGTAAAATCTATGTCAAAACTCAGAAGAAGAAAAAGAAGAAAAACAAGAAGAAGGAGAAGGAGAAGGAGAAGGAGAATGAGAAAACTGACCGACATGGAAGATGGCTAGATCGATCCGCATGGGAGAAGAGGAGTGTGGTAGTGACATCAACGACATGCGGTGGAAATAGCGGCGGCTTCGAGTGAAGTCGATAGATTTGCACGGAGAAGAAGAGATGATGCGTAGAAGACAAGATGGAGAGAGAAGATGTGGAGAAGATGAGATGCAGAGAAAAGGAGATTGACGTAGATTGACGCAGAGAAGGGGAGAGAGAAAAGTAAATAGGTGCGGGGGTAAGAACGGGTTGCTAATTTTTGTATGTTTCATAATATGAGTAAATTGGTCCTATTTGAGAGAGAAAAACATAAGAAGTCCTATTTTTGAATTTTACCCAAGTTTTATTCTTATTTAGGATAATTTCTATTTACTTTATTCTATTGTTCCAATTTTATCGGAAACCACAGTGGGGTGGTTTGGTTCGATTACCACAGAATGTGAGACTAACCAAGATTGATGGTAATGTATCGATTTATTCTCATTTTTGTTTGTTTAAAATTAAGGGAATGTGAAATTAATTTACTTGGTTGAAAGATATCTTATATTGCAGATATGATGAATTACTTCAATGTTTTTTAAATATTTTATCTTAACACAATAAATCTATTACAACCTACATTTAAAGTAATTAAAATTAAAGAAAAAATGAATTATCTTAATAATAAATAAAATCAAACCTAATTGAAATATTTTTAAGTAAACTAAGTTTAATTGTAAAAAGTTGTAGATCCAATTCAAAAGTGAAAAAACTTTGTTCAAATAGTAATCTAAATATATTTATTACTATATAAAAAAAATGTTCAAGTTATTCATAAAACTTCTTTTCAAATTAAAGAAAAAATGATCAATTTTGCCATTAAATTTTGAAATCCACCCATCAAAAACTTAAATAATCTATAAGTCTTATAAAATAAATACCTTAAAACTTATATGTTAAGAAAAAAAGAACTTTGAAAATAACAAGAATAAACATACTCCATCTGTCCCACTTAAAAGGTTGTCACACAATCTACGATCGACTGACCATAAAATTAACTGATCTCTTTCAACAATAAGATTATTTTTTGTAAACAAACTTTACATATTTAAAAACTACTTTAAAAGTTTTGTAAAATCACACAATATAAAGAAATTAATTGAAAAGAGATAATAAATTGAGGGTATTTTCGGAAGAAAGTTATATCATCCCCGGGAATGTAAGATAACCTAAGGCATGGATGGTTATAAGATTTCCCTCCATATTACATTCCCGAGAATGTAATTTTTCCGATGTTTTCTCAAACACGTGAACCAAACATGAGTATCTGACATTCCATGCATCACATTTCGGCCTTCATGTGATATTACCTCAAACCAAACAAGCCCTATAGGGTTGGTGCATATGTTTTATCCAAGATTTGGATCAAAAAAATGTTTTATCCAAGATTCAATTAAATATAATAAATTTTTTAATTTTACATTTTTCAGGATTGCTTTGACTTTCTCCGGGTTAGGTTCAATCCCCGTATGGGTCACCATAAACTCCAGAAACGTGCCACCTTGAACTGTAAAGGATTAAGCCTCAGATTAACCCGTTTCATGATTCCAAACACTTCGATGTGGTCATCCGCATGACCTCCTGCCTTCTGGCTCTTCATGATCATGTTGTCCACATATGTCTCCATATTTCTCTATGTGGGGGAGGACAAGGTGGAAGGTCGTCGTAGGTAAAAATGATAGTCTTTCTCTTCCGCTTCTTGTATGTAGGGAGGCGGTTGATTTCTCTGATGAACAATTGACGACTTCACTTCTTACTCTCTCCAGTAGTGTCTCCTCCCGTTGGTCCACCGTAGATGTGGTTGACATGTGGACGCTTTTGCCGGCCGGAATCCTCCCCCTCTTTGTCATCCTCGAGTTGGGATTCAACCTCCCTCTTTTTGGAGGTTGAGGTCTGCTCGCCTTTGCCCTTGGTCCAAGTATTCTTCTTTTGACTGGGTTGCCCCCGCCGACTCTTCTTCACAAATTGGTTCAGTTGCCCCTGGAGGCTCCGAATAGAATTACCCTTTACAAAGATAGACCAAAAACTAAAAACAATACTCCTCCGGTCCTAAATAAACTTCACACTTTCTTTTTTGGGTAGGTCCCAAATAAACTTCACACTTCTTTTCCCTTCCTTATTTGGCAAATTATCTACATCAAAACGGTGCAAAACAGTGCAAAATAGTGTCAATCAGTGTCAAACAATGTCACAACAGTGTACTCTACAGTAAAGTCAAATTTATTTCCTTAATTTATATGAAGTCAAAGTGTGAAGTTTATTTAGGATCAAAGAGAGTATCACTTTTTTTCATTTCTGAAGTTTCTTTTTAAAAATAGACGGATCAAAGTTTTGATTTCAATAGTAGACTACCACCGTAAGGCTTAATAGCGTGATGCTAAAAACTCAACTTCGCATACATTAGTTTATATTCTTCCACTTAGTGCATACACCCACCGTGATAAATTATACAGGTTGGATTTAAGGGGGGCGGGGTGTGACCACTCCCCTTGGACTTTCAAAATTTTCTACTATATATGTAATGTTTTTGTAAAATTTTGATACTTTAATTAGATTGTCCCCTTAACTTTTTGTTGAACATTGCCCCCCTTAACTTTTAGTTTTTTAAAATTAATATATAGTCTTACATAATTTAATACTTAATTAGAGATTTATTAAATTGGGAGGGGAAAATTGGGCTACCTCACGGGAGAAATCAAACCAAAACTTCCTGGTGAGGAAGGCTACAGTACATGGAGGTCAGAAAATTCACTTGTAACAGCCTGGCTTCTCAGCTCCATGGAAGCCTCAATTGCAAAACCTCATATGTTTATGAAGACAACAAAAGAGGTCTGGGATTCCATAAAAGAAACTTACTCGGACCTTGAAAATTCTTCTCAAATTTTTGAATTAAAAACCATTCTCTGGTAGTCCAAACAAGGAGATAGAGATGTCACCACCTACTTCAATGAAATGGTGTCTCTATGGCAGGAGTTGGATCAATACTATGATGATGAATGGGAAAGTGCAAAAGATCTGACCAAGCACAAAAAAAGGGAAGAAAATGACAGGGTTATATGTTCCTGGTAGGAGTTACTCAAAGCTTTGATGAAGTGAAGGGAAGGATTCTGGGAAAGAAACCTTTGCCTTCAATCAGAGAGGTATTCTCTGAAATCAGGATAGAAGAAAGCAGGAAAAGGATTATGAATAACACTCCAGGATCTCAGAATGATACTGGAGAGTCCTCAGCATTGGTGGTCAAGGGAGATGAAAGAAAGAAACCATGGTGTGATCACTGCAAGAAACTGTGGCATAAAGGGAAACTTGCCGGAAGATCCATGGAAAACCACCAGGAGCAGGAAAGAAGAAATTTGAGAAAGCTTTACATACTACCATGCCTGAAACTGAACAGGAGCAACAAATCAACTTCAATCAGCCCACTTTCACAAAGGAACAGATAGAGCAACTCCTACAATTTCTAAATACCCAAAAGATTCTTAACCAGGAAACCCCTTCTTGTTCTTTTGCCCAAAATGGTAAAATTACATCATATTTTTGTTCTGAAAAATCAAAAAACACCTGGGTCATTGACTCAGGTGCAACAAACCACATGACCTCTTTTCCAAAATTCTACTCCTCATATAACCCGTGTGCACGAGATAAAAAAGTTAAAGTTGCAGATGGCTCTTTTTCAGCCATTGCAGGGATGGGAAATGTTAAAATTTCCTCAATCCATTAACCTCTCTAAAGTCCTTCATGTTCCAAACCTTTCTTGTAATCTTGCCTCTGTTAGCAAATTAACCAAAAAGCTTCAGTGTTATGTTAAATTTTATCCTTATTGCATTTTTTCAAGATCTGGCATCGGGGAAGATGATTGGCAGTGCTAGAGAGGAAGATGGACTCTATGTCTTTGATGAAGGAACTAAATTGAATAAACAAGGTCAAGGAAATACTTGTCTTCAAACTATTTATTTTTCTTGTAATAATGAAGTGTATTTAATGCAATATAGACTAGGCCATCCT